TCCTAGGGGTAGATGAGGGTAGATGGGGGTGGATGGGGGTGAATCGGGTTGGATGGGGAGGTGCAGAGGGAGTTAGAGGCCAGATAAGGGGCTCTCCTAGATGGTTTGTGAGGCGCTGTCCAGCAGCCCTGGTGCTGAATTCCAATAGACAGCTAGTGATGTGAGGAGCCAGCTGCTTCCTAGGAGGGTTGGCCGCCCAGGAAAACACAGAACACATTTGCCGCAACCCTTTGCCAGATTAGGAAACTGAGGCTAAGAGCTAGCCCCACCACCCTCACCACCCCCACCATTTCATTCGTGGCCAGATCTGAGAATTCACCGCTGGTTTTTCTGGCGCGTGCCCCCCTATCTCAGGCACCTTGCGAGGTATTGTTGTTTTGTACCTACATGTCTGAGCACCTAGACTTGCACCCCAACTTCCTAATGAGTGTGCTGAGTGGTTTAGTCAACAACAAATGAGGGTGGGCACCACGCTCCATGCTGTCGGGAATGACCGAGGCCTTGAGAGCAGACCCCTGGCCCCTGTGCGCATGACTCTCACCTGTAGATAGCCTGCCTGTCTTACCTAGACAAGGATTCTCCATGAAGATCAAGGGTTGGGGTGGTGTTTGGGAAGACAGCAGGCCTCTGCCCTATTTCCTTGGTGTTTTGTTAAGGAGCTAATTTATTTTGAACTTTCCAATCATCTTAGATATGGTGTGAGTTTTATATTGGAAGAAGACACTCATAGCTGTTATTTGTTTTATGCTGCACTGTATTTCTTTAATGTAGTAAAATGTGCATGACATAAAATGGGCCACTATAACCGACTCTGGGGGAGCCGGGCCAACTGGTGTCTGGGGTGCTGTGTTCTGCGGAGACCGATGAAAAACTTCCCATGTTCTCTCCCAGCCCTGGGTCAAGCTCTGAGTCAGACTTATCTTTGCGGAACGGAGGGGGATAAAAAAAAATCTCTCTCTGGAGAAACGTTAGACATCAGGGTGAAGATAAAACTGGATCTGTCATTACCCGCTTAAAGAATAGCCGGCGTGCCGTGACCTGCTTTCATAAGTTTGTGTCTGCAGAGGGATATTGCTGGCGATTTCACGGGAAAGGAAAGCGCCCCGGCCGTGGCTGGCGCAGCCCCCCAGGCTCTGGGGCACAGTTCTCCACGTGCCGGTGGCGGGCACCCCGGTAGATGCACCCGACTCCTGGACACACGGCCCTTCGTGGTAGGTCTGCAGAGCGTGAACCTGACCCCCGACCCCCACTGCTACTCATTTCCTCTCTGATGTCCAGGTGGCAGGTGCGCAAGCGACTTTCACAGGATTCAGGATCAGCCTGCTTCTGAGCAGGGAACACCGGGGGCTGGTGACACACACCCTCCAGAGTACCTACCTAGGGCTGACGGTGGCTCCGCCTCTCTCTCGCCATTGGTTCCGCCGGCCTGCACGGTCTCTCTGATGGCCACTGAGGCACCTCTGGTTGCTCAGGACAGCCTGTGGCTATGGGTTCCATTTCCAGTCAAGGGCACGTACCTGGGTTGCAGATTCTATCCCAGCCCCGGTCGGCAACCAGTTGTTGTGTCTCTTTCACATCAATGCTTCTCTCTCCCCATCCCTATCTCCCTTCCATTCTCTCTGAAAATCAATGGAAAAAATGTCCTTCAGTGAGAATTAACAACAACAAGGCTAAATGGACAGAGTGATAAGAATGTTCTGGTGACAGGCCATGGTGGTCACTGGGAAGGTTGAGTGAAAAACAACCCTTTAGCCCGGCCGGTGTGGCTCAGTGGTTGAGCCTTGACCTATGAACCAGGAGATCGAGGTTCGATTCCCATTCAGGGCACATGGCCGGGTTGTGGGCTCCATCCCCAGTGGGCAGTGTGCAGGAGGCAGCCGATCCATGATTCTCTCTCATCATTGATGGTTTTTTCTCTCTCTCTCCCTCTCCCTTCCTCTCTGAAATCAATAAAAAAAAATTTAAAAAACCACACACACACACACATATACAGAACAACCCTCCAGTTTGTAGACACAGAGGTCAGAGATGTAACAGGTGAGAACAGCCATGCAGGGAGCTTTTCAAGGTGGAGAAAACCCAGCCTGCTGCTCAGGCCGGCTTCCTTCCTAATTGGCACTTGTCGCAGGAACACCTGGGGTGTGAGCTCTGCTGGCATTTTCCCCGGCTCCCTCCCCGCCCGGAGGGCTCTGGCAGCCAGCGCCAGCGGTCAATCCTCAGTGCCCGCCTTCATTCTCGTCTTCGGTTCTTGGTTTCTCATTCGTTTGGCTCTCGGGTATTTGTCCACCTTTAGACACGATGACAGTGACCTTCTCTCCCCACCCCCGCGTGACCTCTCCTCCCTCTCCCCCTTTCCAAATCACAGGGACCAGTTGGCTGCCTCCCTGGGCAGCCTGTACTCTTTTGGGGGAGGGGGTGGTGGTTCCCCCCGCCTCCCGAGCCCCAGGAGAGCAGGGAGGAGAGACCTGCTCCGTGGCCACCCATCACAGAACGGGACGGCCAAGGTGCACATGGCCCTGGCCAAGGCACGGGGCGGGGCGGGGCGGAGAGACGAGGCCCTGGCTTTGTCCCGACCTCTTCAGGAAGCAGAGGTCCAGGGGCCAGCTGCCTGCCCCTGGGAGAGAGCTTTTTTTTTAGGCTGGGGTTCAAGGCCTGCCCCTGCCCCTTCATGCTGGGCAGGCCCTTTCTCCTCCGCACCCTCCCAGAGCTGGTATGAGCATGTATGTAAATCCCTGTGCTGGGCTGCACGCTACATAAGCAGAAAGGGTTAGTCCAAGAATCACTTTTGCTCCGGCCTGCACTATCATTTACATTAAAACCGCTAATTGGAGCAAAATCTTTAACAAAAGAGCGAACCAGCCGTTGTTTATGGTTTAGGGCCAGCATGTCAAACTCAGAGGCTAACACGGGCCAAATAAACAAGGCTTAAGCTTATGTGGCCGCAAACAACAAAAGCTTCAATTTTCATAGAAACGTGGGTTTATTCGATAGAGACATGCTGAATACAAAGGGCTGAAATAAATGAGTCATCGTTAACATAAAATAAGACATTTTAAGAAAAATTGATATTTTTTTCTTGAACATAAACTTACCAGACACTGAATAACTGCACAAATTAACAAGCGTCACGAAAATAAACCTATTTTTCTTGTTCTCCGAAAGCGAAATATTTCCTGTTGCGCACACCAAACAAGTCAGTCCAAGACTAATGATGTGGCCATTGGCTGCTAAAATATTCGCTGCTAGTATTAGTGGAGAGAAATTGTGCGCCTGCGTGTAAGGCGCGTAAGGGACATGAATGCAACACGATTATAGTCATCAGTTATTAGTGAACATTGTAGTTCGTTATTAATATTTTTGTATAGCAGGATATTGTAAAGATTAAGGAATTTTTATTAAAACGTTTCTTACATAGCGTTACATTGGCTGGGCCACAAAATTATTCGCTGTGGGCCAGAGTTTCCCATGCTTGGTTTTGGGGGGGAAAACTCACAAATTATTTCAAAGGAAGGGGATTGCCCTTCTGGTGTCAGGAAACAGCCCTTAGTGCCTCCCTAGCCTCTGACACCTCTCCCCGTGGCCCCCTCTGCCCTGGGAGGGAGGGGGCTGTGGTCTCCGCTGTGTTGGGAACAGACGGTTTGTAAACATTCGACCCCTCTCCCACCCCGCCGTCCTCCGCCGTCCTCCCACCAAAGGTAGCAGGGCCAGCAGGAGGCATCTTGATGTCCTCTGACTTTGTATTCTCATGACCGTGAGCGTGGGCCCTGCCCGAGGCTCCCGGGGCCGCAGGGACAGAGGCTGCCTCCTCCCCATGGGAAGGGTGCCTGCGACCCTTAGACCTGCCTGGTGCAGCCCATCCGGCTCCTCCCTGGACTCACTTCTCGCCCACCCCTTTCCGAAGCGCGTCAGGTGCATCGGGCAAACCTGAGCATGTTGAACAGGTATCCACCCCCCCCCACCCCCCTGGCGTCACGGCTCCTGCCCTTGCAGACGTTTCTAGAAGAAAAGGGGAAGAACACCAGCTGTGGAGAGCGCAGAGCCCTGGCCACAGA